ATATTAAAAGAACAGAAACCAGAAAATTTAAAAATAACCGTAGAGAAATGTCCATGGATGCAGAGCCCATATTTAGATGACGGAAATGTTTTAAGTAAATATAAAAAACTTTCCAAGTTTCGCTTGACATGTAAGTTGACTTAAAATGTGTGTTTAAAAAAACTAATACATTTTCCCAACAGCGTTAGTTGTCATAACAACAATGGGCGGATATGCTATGGCACCTGCTGCATTTGACTTAACTACATTTGTAATGTGCACATTGGGAACAGGCTTGGTTTCAGCAGCGGCAAATTCGATCAACCAATATCACGAAGTTCCCTTTGACTCACAAATGTCTAGAACAAAAAACCGGGTGTTGGTTACTGGTCAAATAACTCCGCTTAAAGCGGTTGGCTTCGCATTTGTATCAGCGACATCAGGACTATGTTTGTTGTATTTTGGTGTCAATGGGTTAACAGCGGCGTTAGGAGCCGGAAACCTATTTCTTTACACCTCAATATATACACCAATGAAGCGAATGAGTATTGGCAACACGTGGGTAGGCTCCATTGTTGGAGCAATACCTCCACTGATGGGCTGGGCTGGTTGCACAGGATCGCTAGATGCGGGCGCAATGATTCTTGCCGGAATTCTGTATGCCTGGCAGTTCCCCCATTTTAATGCCCTTTCGTGGAACCTACGTCCGGATTATTCGCGAGCCGGCTATCGTATGATGGCTGTTACCAACCCCGGCCTTTGTCGTCGAACTGCATTGCGTTATGCATTCGCGATATGCGGACTGTCTCTGGTAGCTCCCCTTGCTGATGTTACTAATTATTGGTTTGCTTTGGAGACATTGCCTTTAAATGCATACTTTTGTTATCTAGGTAAGTGAATATTTATACTAGTGGCTAATTTTAGATATGTACCTATATATAGACGAACAAAATAACAAATTATGAGCTTTCCCAGGTAATATGATGTATAAATTCGGCTTATTGATAAAACAAAATAATTTTTGAAAAGCATCTACAGTTTAATATTGTGTTAGCCATGCTTTTAATAAATATTTAAAAGTAACTTCCACTACAATTAAAAACATATCGTCCGCTCTAACAATACTAGTCAACAGAATAAAATAGTTTTGCTATAACTTTTGGCAGTTAAACCAACTTATAAATGCTTGAAAAAAAATTGAAAGCCAATAGTTTAAATGGGAAAGAATACCTGAAAATTGTACTCGTGTTTATATAAAATTTAATTTAACAAAAATTAAATTCAATCTGATGCTAAGTTCTGCGACAAAGCTCGTCTAAACATTGCATTAATGTAAATAATCCACTGTAAATTTATTGAGCCAAACATCACCTTGCAAAACTGATATTGGCCGTCCTGAGTAACAAACGAGGTGAACTTAGAAAAAGGCATTCTTCAAGTCAGTTATGATATACATATATCAATGCGTTTTGTAAGCGATTGAGGTGGTCATCTATTAGAGGCAAAGGGAAAATTACTTTTTAAGAATACGACATAGTCTCAGCCTTTTTTCGTGACTGCAAAAAAATTGGAATTTCATATTATTATTTTTCATTCGATGTTTGTTCCTTTTTATTTTCGGATACATAGTCGTACGTACCTTCTATTTGGTAAAATCACTGTTTATATATAACTAGCAATAAATAAAGTATAGATTCTCTACAAATCTTATAAAAGTGAGCTTATATCGAACAAAGTCTACAGGTATTTTGTACGAAGGAATATAAGTATTATATATATATATGTGTGTGTGTGTGTGGGCGTGCGTGTGTTAGTATATGCACTCATTTATATATGTATGCATGCATGTTTGTTTTCTAATACGCAACGCACACCAAGCTTATTTGTCTCTGTGCTGTAAATTTAAATAGAACGAATTTCTGCCAAGTGCTCTCCTCCTTGATTCTCAAGAATTCAAGTAGGCCCTGCAGTTTTTCATGCTTAAGCTAGCAGTGAAGTGATTTTTTTTTTGTGTATTTATGTAGATTTATTTGTTTGTACTTATGTATGTATGTATGCACGTGTGTACATATATATGTATGTATGTATATATATATGTATGTATGTACATACGTATGTATGTATGCATGTATGTACATATGTATGTTTGTATATATGTATGTATGCATGTATGTATGCATGTATGTACATATGTATGTATGCATGTATGTACATATATATGTTTGTGTGTACATATGTATGTATGCATGTATGTATGTGTGTACATATATATATGTATGCATGCATGTATGTATGTATGTACATATGTATGCATGTTTGCATATATACATTGTATATATGCCAGAAGGTACCCGGACATGGATTCATACATGTACACATGCATGCATGCTGGCATATGTATATAAAAAACAATCATGTATCTATGTATGTACTATCAGGAAGCTTGGATTCTGCGAAAAATGTAACACACGTCTCAAATGATATTTCAAATATCGATCGATCGGATGGCAAGCAAAAACCTTTCATAGAACCGTTTTTCGCTAATTAACCACTGATGTAAGCGGAATTTACCAAATCGCTGAAATACGTATTCATTTAGTTCTTACGTAGAGCTTTGAAAATATGTTTGATGCAAATCGGACAAAACTTAATACTTAGCCCAAAACATCTATGAATCGCATTTTCCACGGAGGAAGCTTGAATTTTTTAAAAAGTCTGAAACAGGCCTCAAATTATTTTTAGGAAATAAATTTGACCACGAAATTTTTAAAACCGCCGTCCTACGTAATTAAAGATATTAAGACTTTAGTTATTAGCTCATACATTTTATAAACTCTTCAATTAGTCATCAATGTGCACCTTAAGTTAATATAGATATCCAGTTAATATAGATATCCAATAGAGCATAATTATTAATCTATCGTTTCTTAATTGCAGCGTATAAATTTAACTCCAAATCTGACAGTGGCAGCTCCCGAAAGTTGTTCAGATTTTCATTAATACATTTACCTGCCCTTATGCTACTGTTCCTGGCCAACAAAAAAAATTGGTATTTTAACGATACTGTGGAAGAAAAACACGTGAAAAGTGATGACTCTTATGTGTCCCGCCTTTCTACCTCGCCATCAGGCAGCCTGGAAAATGTAATACCACTGAAGGTAACAGTTGGTTCAAGTTGATTTTTGATACACCAACTTTACTGTAATTCCTTTAGATGTACATAATTAGAATATATTTATTCTAACTTAATAAAAACAAAGCTTTAAATTAAGAACTCTAGTGGTTAATATGTGTTCGTAATTTTGGGTTAGTTAAGATGTTAGTTTAACATTTGTCTTTACATTTTCTAATAGTTTGTTTAATAATATATAATTTCTTTGATAGCTGGTCAGTATGTCTATAATATGAGCAGCACCAATAGCCAAGTCGATCTAGCCATGTCCGTATGTATGAACGGAAGAATCTCAGAACCTATAAGAGCTAGAGACATTAGAGAAATTTGGAATGTAGGTCCACCTAGTACATGCGCAGTATGAGTTTGTTTTCGATAAACGATAATTTATCCCGTTTCCAAGCAATCGATAGATCTCGAAATCGTCTTTCTGGAGGCTAAGTAAATTTGACATGTAGCTTATTGAATAGTACATATAATTATCAAATATATTTCACCACCCCGCCTACACAGCATAGCTATAAATCAAATAAATAAACCAATTGGATCTACCCACCAGATGCAGCTCAGTACCACCTATAACTTTATAGCAACTGCGTTAGAAACTGGGACGTTAAATTAGGCCAATAAGGTGAGGGGTGTTGCCAGCTCTGAGTGAAACAAAGATTCAATTGACATGCTCCGTAACTACCGCAGCAAACTATCGCTCGCTTGTAAACGGTTAGTTTACCTACAAGATATGGCACCCATCTGGCAATTTGGAATACAAACCTGAGTTATGGCTTGTCAACCCAATCCCAAAAGAGTGCAATCCCTTTGAGGTACGACTTTATTCAGGATTTTTAAGAGCGCAAGAGATTTGAAGATCCCCTGGTTCCAACAATTGGCCAGCCGCACACGCCAACAGGCTCGCTAGCAGCCCTCAAGAGACCTGAACAAGGCAAGGTGTCGAATTATTGAAATTAATTAAGGGCAAGGAGCTCTCGCAACCGTGCAACACCGGCAGCAAAGAATAAAAGCTGACGATCCAAACGAGTAGACGTGCTTTGAGAATGACAAAGTGTGCAGCGGAGCGCTATGGCTCCAGGCAGTGCGGCAGGGCCTTTGTGTAGGGAACAAGAGTAGTGAAGTGTGATAAAAGTAATAATGATGACGGAGTTGGCCTCGAAGGTGATCTCAAACGACTCGTGAATGGACACGACGTCGTATCCTGTGAACTAGTACAGGTTAACCCGTTTGATGGCAGAAGGAAGCATCGCTGACCCCATAAGGTATATCAATAGCATCAATAGCCGATTCGATTTAGCCGTCCGTCTGTGGATGAACGCATAGATCTCAGATCGTACAAGAGCTGACTTAAAAATTTTAACGCAGGTCCTTCTAGTGCTCTCGCAGTACCGGTTTGTTTCAGAGAGTCGCCGTTTCCAAGCAATCAATAAGAATCGATATCGAAATTCCGTTTTCTTTTCGGCCAAACTTGACAATTTATTTAAAAAAATTTTAATTGTAGAGTTTTTTTTCATTTGAAAAGATGTTAGATGTTGCCAATGTTAACAGCAGTTTCATATCTTCAATAAATTTCATTCGTTCCCATAAAATGTACTCGGTGTGAAATGACTATAACCACTAACCATACAATATATAGATGCTCCAACGTTAAAATAATCATCTCTATGGTTAGTGGTGAAATTATAGCATTTAATCGTGTGAGTTTCGGGGCAATAATTATTAAATTAATGGATTTTAAGAAGAGTAAATTCAAAATATGGACAGTTCAGTTTTTTAGAACTAAAATAAATCTGTGGTTCCAGCTCCGGAACCAAGTTCTAACAATCGAAGCCCAATGACCGATGCTAACTTGACGCACGTACTCAATTACACATCTCTAATAAATAGTAAATATTAATTCTAAAAAAATGAAATCTGAAAAATTAAAAAGAAATTTTTGGCTCACTGCCGAAATTGAATGCATGCTTAATTTACTAAATGAAGTGAGACTTACGCAAGGATCGGCACACGCTACAACAACGCACAATACTTTTACCCAAATTGCTAGCAAAATGAAAAGGCATGGATTTCCCAACAAATCACCAACTCAAGTCCGCAGAAAATGGTTTCAGATGAAATCTGCATACCTTTGCTATAAAAAAGGAAACGTGGATCGTCTATTTCTAATACCGGAGAAATTTCGAAGTGTAATTGCACAATTTGTAGAAAATGGTAGTAAACGACGTAATTCCACGACTACAGTACCGAATCCTGAACCCAAGACCCAGCCACAATGTAAATAACATTTTATTTAAATGAAAGTAGAAACTTAAAATCCTACTAATATTTGCAATGTACTTTTTTTATTCCAGTGGTAAAACCAAAGTCAGCTGTCAATACATTTTTGGCTCTACTAAAGCAGACTAACAATTTATTGAATGTGGAATTCAGCGCATTGGAAGCGTCGCTTTTGAGTTATGAGCAAAGGTGCCAATCAATGCGAGACTACAACATAATGAAATATATGTCATCCTGAGTAAATCGTATGTCGTGCCAATAAATTTATCTATATAATACAATGGCAACACAATATTTTGTGGCTCCTTTTCTAACCAATTGGAATAAGATATACCAATTGAAAGGCGGAATATAATGGAAGTTTTCGACGTTTATTAAAATAATTGGGTAGGCCGCAGCTGACAAAACGTGAGGGATAATAAGTTGTATGTGATCTGATAAGGAATGCCTTTGAACACAGCTGGACTCCATCCGGACCGACGTGATCGACATGTGTAAGACCCTTGAGCTGCATCTGCATTCCAGCTACATTCCAGCCCCTGACTATAGCGAGCGTTACTCGAGACATCTGCAAATTTTTCGGCAGTCCAACTGGATGTGATGGGCAGCTCCGATATACTAGCATAAGCATAAAGGTCCAATAAGAACTATTGATCAAAAAAATCCTGTATATTTGCTTTAAAGTATTAAAATATCCCACTCATCTGATATCTGCAAGAGTATATAACCTTTAGTTTGGTGAAGAAAGATGCCGTTCTCGTAAATTAAATACATTTTTTTTAGTTTTACAAAATAAAGTTTAATGTTTCGTTCGTACATTAACAAGCACAGATCATAACATAGAATTAAGGTATACATCGAGCATTTACAAATTAATTGGTTCGTAAATATGTTAATACATAAATATTTGACAAAACGATTGCATATTAATAACTATTTTAATATGCGAAATAAATACATGTTGTACGGTAATTGGATTACAAATCTTGCTACTTTCGACGTCTTTTTTTTTTACTTTAATACCATTAAAATCAACAATATATATGCGAGTGATAAACTTTGATAAATTAACCAATTTAAAATGTTATCTCTATTATTACGTTAACTATGTCAATTTATTGATTTATAAGATCAACAATGTATATACCAAAACTGAAGTTCAATTAGTAGATTATTGATATAAAAATCGGTACAGTCGATTGTTCCATTCTGTACAAAGATGCTTCTTGAGGTGCTCTTCAGCAAAAAACATTATCGAGAACATATATAATTTTATATATGAACACAAACAAAAAAATATCATGTAAATACTCTGAAGAATATCACTGCATTAATGATGCCTAGTGTATTGGTACATATTATCGTATTACTTCGATGTGTCTTTATTTCATCTCTGGTGCGTTTCTCTTACGGAATTCCAGATGGATCGCTTAAGGTAGGCACAAGGTGCGGTTTCTGCTGCTGTTGGTGAATGAGATTAACGCGTGCTCGCTGCTGCTCAAGTCGCTGAACATTAGCGGTCAAATGCGAATTCTCCACATACAAATCCTTCACAAGAATATCGGCGTTTTGAAGACGCTGAGTCTGATCGGCAATCAAGACAGCCTGTGCTTCAATACGACCGTGCAACTCGTTGAGATCCACTTGATGCTGCCGCCAGGATTCTATGGGTTAATTGATTGCAATTAATAAAATGATCAGTCAATGGTAATAATTTCTTGTATTTACGCTGCATCAGAGACTCGGTATATTTCTGCTGTTGCTTAACCACATTCTGTAAATGTCGATTCCTCAGCTCTAGCTGATTAAGTCGCTGCTGAAGCGTCGGATGTGTTGTTCGCTATTTAAAAAAATAAATAAATAAAAAATAAATACAAGCTAACGACTTATTATCAACAATCTCACCGCATATGCTTTCTGAAGAACAGGACGTGCTTCCTGCAACTGTTGCAGTTCCATGACTAAACCGTCACGTTGCAGACTCAGATCCTTTATCTGCTCCTTGAGTGAAAGCTCGAAGAATTTAAGACGTTTTAGTTCCTCCTTCAGAACACTCGGGCTACTGCACTTTTCATGACTGAAGCAAGACGCTTTGCTGGTTGACACCACGCTGTGCGAATCAAAGCTCTTGTTCGATGCAGTTGATGAGGTCTCACTATCCGCGATTTCGCCTTCGGACGAACATTTGGGCTTGCAAATGGGCGCCGGCGGACAAACACTAGCTGACGAAGTATATTTTGTATCACTGTTTGTGGATGATGGGCCCGTTGATAAAGTTCCACGAGGCGTAGTACTAAATATGGATGTCGTCGAAGTGGTAAGATTGTTTCTAAAAAATAAATTTAATTAGCATTAAAATTTGTAAGGTAATGCTGGAGAACAAAAACAACAGTACACAGAATCACAAAAGCTCTCTCTCCAGGTGGACTTTTCATATAATAATTTATTCATAAAGTTGCTTATAAACTGTATTTTTTAATCCTTGTTTTTCGTATCAATTGCAATTTGGTATCAATTGTGGCTGAACACAATTTTTCCCTATTGAAGCTAGAAGCTTTGCACTTTAAATATGTGGTCGTGGATACCCGCACTTAAACCAGATTTAAACTAGTCACAAATTTTGTCAAATAAAAAAACTTCTGAATTATTGAGATCAAGCTAAACACTACGAAATTCGAAACTTTTTCTAAAATCGTTTTTCGAGGGCAATGTGAAAAAAGTCTGTTTTAATCGACTGCGTTCTCACTTGTTTTCCATTTGAACAATTGGTTAATTAACTTGTGAATTTTTGTCTGCTTAAATTCACATTTAAATAAATCTATGAACGCACTTATGGAGTTCGGCCTTGTGATTCCCTTTCCCCACTTACTTTGCATAATCAAATAGAAAATAATTTTGATGTGTATTTTTTTATAATATTTGTATACCCTAAACCAAGTGAGCGCAAGAAGGTTCAGGGTATCCCCTAGTCGGGCACTCCCGACTTGCGCACTCTTACTTGCTATTATGAACAGACAGACATGGCTAGATCAAATCAAATGATAGGCTCGGAGATGCTTACTTTTGCCAGTTAATCATTAATTATTATACCTTATGGGCTCAGGCCAACAAAAAAAAATAACAATTTTAAATAAGTGGGCGCTGTCTATCGAAATCTATGGAGGATCGCAACCAGTAGCTCGTTAAGCTAAACGACGGCACACCAAGGACGAAGTTTAGGGATCAGACCTTTATTTAGTAAATACTACTCTTGATTTGCGTACATATGTTGTTTATATTACGAACTCCTACATGCCAAAATTGGCATTAAATTGCTCACAGTACATAATAACTCCCATTGAAATTTATCAAAATATTTTGACTAGTCTATCTCTAAGCTGTGGAAGATATACATTTTCCAATTTTTGACATTCATTAACTGGATGGAAAAAAGTGGACACAAAACAAAAAAATTCTTTTCAATTTTGTTATCAAGTATGACAACTGTCTGCTTACGTTATACGAGACTTTTTTTTTTTGTTAAAAAAGTGTTTTTAGCTCCGATATTCTCTGAAAACCAACTTTATACAGACCGATGATCTCAGATCGTCGGCCTGATTAAATTAAATAATTGGGTTGGAGATAACTTCATCTGTCTTTGAAAAGTTCTTTCAGACCATTTACCTAATATCTGATTTGCAGGGCATAAAAAAAACACCAACCAACCAAACTGAACTCTAAAAAATATATTTGTTAAATCAATAGAACCTAATTGAAAACTAGAAATATGTGTTGCTCTAATGATACAGAAAAAGGAACTATTAATTGACTTTTATTATGTTGATAATAAGACATTTAACTATTTTAAATAGTAGCTTAATATGAATTTGACAAAAGGTTAAATTGAAGTTTTATCTAATTTATTTAACATGTGAAAAGCACATCAACTCATCCACTCATCAGTTACAAAATAATATTTAAATAAGATCAGAATTATAAAGACGTGACACATAAACATATACACAGAAAAGACTCCCAAGAGCCGCACAATATCTATACGCTGTACTTACCGGCTGGTTAATTTGTGGCTAGGAGACTCGCATAGGAGTGTGACGACCTTGGGACTGCTCTCCCCGGTAGCAGCATCAAACGATTTAAGAGGTTCCTGTATTGTGCTTTGGTGCCACAGGTAGCTAATGGGCGAACTGGCAGGCCTTTGACTAGACTGTGCAGTTATCTGATCCAGGACGTCCGGATTGATCTCACATGCTCCAGTTAATATCTCTACGCTCTCGCCTAGACGTGTACGTAAGTCTTCCACCTCACACTGCAATGCGTTTATTTGAAGAGATTTTTCTTCTAACATGCGAATTGAGTTATTCCGCAGATGCGTAGCCTCCGCCTCGAGTTCAACGTATTGCTGTTCCAGCATATCGCGCTCATCAATTGGTGACAGCCGACCATCTTTGCTAAACTGTTCCTCGTACTCGCGTACCTTTTCCATCAGCTCGGTGAACTTTTTATCGCTTTCCAGCTGCTCATCTTCATATAATTGGCGCTCCTTGTCAAACATTTGCCGCTCCTCGCTTAGTTTGGATTGCCAGTAATCCTCGCAATCCTCGTAAGCGCGCTGCATTTGCTCCAAACTGTTTTCAAGCTCCTTACAGCGTGTCTCCGGCGTGGTGGCACGACTATTGCTAGCGCTTTTAGCAGGGTCGGCAGCCTTTAGCTTTAGTTCCAACTGCTCGACGGTCAGCCGCAGAGTAGCAAGCTCCTCTTCGTGACTTTTACAGCATTGCAGTTCAGAGTTGAGCGCCAACCAATCACTGCTATTGTCACTGGACTCGCCTACTTCTGAACACTTACGCTGTTTTCCCAGCCGAGGACTTTCGCCAACTACGTGCGTCTTGCTAGGCGAATCACCTCTTCGCTTGGTGGCCAATCCGACGCTAACAGCCTCCAGTTCTTCGCATTCGGCCGAGTCCGCTGCTGAGGCAATCCCACCAACAGTTGCAGCATCCTTTTTTCTTGACTTTGTACGAGCCAGATCGACGTACAAGTTCTCAATTTCCATTGTTAGTTCGTCTGTTTTGTCACGTAATTGTGCGTTCTCCGTTTTCAATGCGGCCATTTGCTCCATAACGTCCAAAATCTCATCATCCTCTGTAGTCTTATCTCTGCCAATGGCAGCATGTTCGCTGTTCTCCAATTTAATTACTGGCTCACACTTAGCCAGCTCCTGATTCAACTTAATGTTTTGCTCTAGTACCTCAGTCATTTGCAGGTGCATCTTCTGCTGTTCCTTCTCCAGCTCAGTATTTTCAGCACGCACCAGCTCTAGCTCAGTCTTCAGCTTGATCTCCTCTTGCTCGAGGCTTCTAATCTGGGCTTCTAATCTCGCTGTCATACTGGTCCAATGGTCGCGATCGCTTGTAATGCGCTGAGTTAAATCGCGCACCATACTTGCGTGTCTCTGCTCTAGTTGATGCACCTCCTTTTTGCAGTTGTCCTCTAAAATTGCATGCCTTTCATCAACCTCGGCGGCCAACATCGCCACTCGCTGATTGGCTGCCTTATTATCAGATCGCAGCTTTAGATTTTCCTCATGCTGTTGACGGAATGCCTGTCGTAGCGATCTTAACTCCACAGTTTGGAGCGCCACCAGAGCACGCAACACATTTGAATGTGGATCCAGCTCAAGTCCACGTATCTCTTCTTCAAGGACTTTGGTCAGCTGCTGGAGGTTCACCTCCTCCTCGTCGAAGCCTAGAGCGTGTAACAAACCTACACTATTAACGATATTTGCCATTTCCCAGGTGTCAATGATAACTTGCGCGCTAATTATCTCCAATTGATGTGGGGTCATGAGGTCTGTAAAGTATGTAAAGTATGAGCATTATTAAGCCACGCGAAAAGCTGGATCCCATAAAATACAGTGAAAGGTGTACGACAAAACCATTAAGAAACTATCCCAAGTAAACGATTTTAATATTAATAATCAACGTTTGTTTGACTGAATATTAAAATTATTCAAGTTATTTATATATCGGTTGAGAGCGAAAGACAATCTACACAAAGGAAATCAATTATGTGCTGCATTTTCACAGTATGGTTAAAATGTCAAAAAACGATTGCCCAAAAGTATGTAAAAATTACATTATTAAATGTATATATTTTTAGAAACTAAGTTTTGCAGGGACCATGATCTTATTTTTTTCATTGTTTCTTAATTATTTGGGAAAGGAAATGTTTAATAATAGTTTACTCTCGTTTAAAGAGCTCACCAAAACCAACTGTCATTAGAGATTTATATTTATCTATTGTCTTCAAAATATGTTTATGAAATGTAGGTAGTAATTGGGGTTTTCCTGAATAGTTTGAAAATACTCCTAGTTTAATTTTGAATTAATTATATGAAGCACACGCTGGACGCCTTGAGCACACATGACAGTTAAGAGTCCGTAAAGATTAATTTAACTCCTTGCCAAAAGGCAAGGCAAAATTAAAGCACACGTAGTATATATATATGATTTACCAGTTGGGATGGATCTAAGCTAAAGCTGATGTGTTACCAAAAACAGAAAAACCGTCGCAAACGTGATTTATACTTTGAAGCTTGGACCAAGTGGCACTTACCTAGCGACTCCACGCTGCTGCACTCTTTTGCTGCCTCTCTGAGATTTCTTTTGGTGCTGCTATTGTCGACTTGCGTACCGACTGTCGAGGCCGTTGTTGTGCTCCCCGTTGTGGTGATCATTTTCGATTGCAGATTCTTGCGTGCTGGTAGTGAAGCGCAGCGCTTCAGCTTGCTGCCGCTGTAGTAGATGGAGTGCAGGAACCGGCTGCCAGGCAGATCACTTTGTGACGATGATCGTTGCACCTAAAAAGTTGGTTAAAAAAAAAATTGATTATTGTGAAAATTAACAACGAGGCGCTGCTGCTCACTTGAACGATGTTAGCGTTAAGCCCGTTAAGACTTTGCTGCTGATCCTCGTCTGTATTATCCGAGTCCGTAACAGGTAACTCATCGAGGCCAATCTGATGGGGCCGCGAGCGGCGCCCATACTTCTTGGTGCCCACTATAAGCTTGGGCGAAACCTCACGATCAGACGACTCGCCCTCTGGCAGGCTCTCACGGTATGTGTTGGCAGGTGATTCGTCACTTATCACCAACGAACGCTCTGCAAAAGAAAAGTCTGTTAGTAATTAGCTTTAGATATAAACGTCGAATTTTCGTGTGTACCAAAACGAGCAGCTAGTGTTTCAATTATTGGATCAAAAAACCCGGAGCACTGTTTGTAATACAATCGTGTACCCATTGTATCGTTAGGAGGATCTAATTGCAACTGTTGGACAAACACACAGCGGAGCACTTTTAAATGCACTATTCCTGTTTTTATCTCTACCTAGCTCTCTTGCAGGGCAGGTATCCCAGCTGTACCCCTCATAAAAGCTGCTGTTTTATTATTTACAGCTGACACTCGGGGTTAGGTAAAATTATAAAATTACCTTTAAGTCCAGATGGTGTGCTTAATCCGGGCCGCGATGTTGCGCTGTCGAATTCTGTGCCCAGAAAATTAAGCAGCGCTACCTTGAATTGCTCAAATGAAACTCCCAACTTGGAGCTACCGCTGGCGGTCAGATTAGCGATCAGCGCTGATCCCTGATCACGCAGCTGCAGCAGCTGGCAGAGGCGCGTTAGCGAAACTTCGTCTAGCAAGCCGCTGTTTCGTTGCGATGTTTCGCAGCTTTGGAACATCTGGTAAAGTTTCTGCTCGTACGGATCGGCCGACACTTCCATTATCTACGCGCTAGGTTTGTATCCGTTAATAACGTAATTATGGCCGTTACTTAAATGTATAGATACCATAATTAGTACTAGGAAAGAAAGTTATCTGTGACATGACAGGATTAGCACGAAGTATTTAAAATATAGTCATGCAGTTATATGAAATATACCTCCAATATTCAAAAGTCACAATTCATGGCATTTACAATGTCATATCTATAATATCTAATTATATTCATATATCCTCAAAGTAACTTTAAAAGGAAGTCTGTCATAATCCAAATCTTATTCGATACTCCTGCCAAAATTTAATATTACAACAAATTCGGCTGTTATTTTGCTTCCCATTATTTGCAAGATAAGATAAAACCAAACTTTTATTTTATAATTACGGTAAAAATTATTTGAGGAAATATATAAATACATATGTATGTAAGAATACGGTATTACAGAATTATATTGATTCAATGCCATGATTGAAAAATTGGGAGCCCGAAGTATTGAACGGATTAGACTAGTGAAAAGCTGTAAATGCCATGAATGAGTTGGTACATATGTACATGCATACCCATATATACAACTCGTAAATTGTTTACAATGTTACAACGATGAATCCTTCGATGTGTGGTACATTTCATATAAATTCTGCATGGTTATTAGAATAATTATATAAAGTAAAACCTATTTGTACACTGTTAAGGTGAAATCGATAAAGGCCTCATACTTTGTAGTAGTTGTTGATTCAGCCACGGCTTTTGGTTTGTTGGTCGGTTTTAACATTGGATGTTGTTGGGGATTTTAGATCGGTAATATGCACATACAAATACACAAACTCATTCGATTGCACAGTCAATAATAAAGCACTAGATGCGTAATGGTTAAAGTGGTAAAAACATAATGTATTATAAACGAGTACAGTGGCGGAGAAAAGGGGCTGGGGCCAACTTATCGATATATTTTTTCCTTTGGAATTATCTGACACAACGCATTCTCATTTGTTATTTTAGTGTTTCCATTTCGTAGATTTTCAGTCTATTCTAATAAATTGTGACAGTTTTAATAAACGCTTCTGCCTTGACTCACAGTTCGAGTTTCTTAACTTATATTTAACAAAACAAACAAAACTGCCCCGTATTTTTTTTTATAACACAACGACATATTTTACACATTCAGTTTTATAAAGATCAAGTTTCTTAAATATTATTGAAAACCAAAAATCAAGTAGTATATAGTTCAACAGCCACTTAATAGACATAGGAATAAAATACAAAAACAAGTTTTATTCAGAATTTTTTCTTATATTCCTTTTTAATTTAAATCAAAAGTACATATGTATGTACTTCACGAATTTTTTATTGTCTTAAAGCAAAGAACATATTCCCTGGATTTGTGTTACTGATGTAAATCATATATATATATATTTAATGTTTTAAGATCTACAGATCTGGTTATCCAAATGGAAATTATGAAAGCCAAATTGGCAATGGGAAATGTTGGAACTTATTCGAAACGCATGTTAGGAACACCCTTTTCTTACTTAAATTACTAATAACATAGCAGGGTAGCTTTCCATGTTATCGATTGGCCACCACAAAAAAGTAGCGATAGCTTATCAGCAACACAGCGACATAAAAAAACATTAGAATAAGACTTATTTTTTGTATTTCTTGAAAGCTATTGAGTGTAAAAGCAATAATAGTTTTATTTTAACACGGACAACAACAAAGTGTTAGCATTCATTATTATTTGTCGTTGAAATACATGGACGCAATCTTCGCGACGGCCTTGATCAAAGAGCCGTGTAAATAAATTAGATTTATTACGAAACTTGGGTTTACGAATGCAAACGCTTTCAAAATTTTGCTGAAGTTTGGATCTCATTCTGGCTCCACACCGATCAACAGGATCAGAATGGCCATGCATTCATATATGCGGGCCAACCCGAATCAAACACAAACAAGCAGTGCAAACGAGAACCTGAGTGCCGATGAGGTGAACGACTTCCTAAAGGACAAACAAGCCTGGGAGCACGCTATATCGCTCTACCAGGGACCCGATCCGCTCGATCACTGGTACAATTACATATGTTGGTACGAAAACCATGCTCACAGCGATCCAGAACTTAAGTTCCGCGAAACGCTCGAACGATGCCTCACAGTCTACGAGCACAACGAATATTATAGGCAGGACGTGCGCCTCGTGCGGCTCTGGCTTAAATACATTGCAATGCAGACGGACCAATTGCGTTTCTATCAGGTTCTATTTCAGCGTGGCACCGGTCGCCAGGTGGCCGCATTTTATATTGGCTGGGCCAGTTACTACGAGGCGCACGAGCAGTTTAAGGACGCTGAAGCAGTATTCAACCTTGCGTTCCAAGAAAAAGCACATAGCAGCGCTGAGCTGCAAAACGCCCACGCCAAGTTTACATATGTGCGCTCGTTGTTTTTCCAGCAGCAACAAGTGCAGCAACAGCATCCGCACCAGCACCAGACACCGTCTCACGACGCTTTACAGCAGTTAACCACATACACACAAACTCATCACCTACAGCAAGAGAATCATCAGCAACAGCAACAGCCACAGCAAGATCATCACCAGCAACAGCAAGCCTACCCGAATCCTGCGACATCCACACCACTGAGGTCTCATCACCTTCGCCAAGATAACTTTCATCAATATCAGCAGCATCCACAGGAGCTTACATATCTCCCCCATGCACAAGAACACCAGCAGCAAGCGCCGTCACAAGCTCACTACCAGCATCAAGAACAGGTAATATTTTAAAATGACTTCTAAGACTTCGCAATTATGCCAATGATCATTTTGAGCATTCGGAGAAGTCCGCAGTTGCAAGAATATAGTTTCCAAACCCACATTTGACTCTTTATTTTCCTATTTAATATTAACAAAATCAATGCTAACCGATTCTGCGTACTTTTTCCAGCCAACTCCTTCAGCACCAGCGCGCTTTGGCCAACAGTTACATCATCCCGCATTTGTAGCTGCACAGAACCAATCGCTCGCACCCTCGCACTATTCTCCCATGTCGGGTACCCAAAATCGGGTAAGCAGCCCTTAGATATTGGCGTACTGCTTACTGACTACTTTGCACTTTTTAGACTCCCGCAAATACGTACTTGGGACCACAGCTACAGGAACAGGTGTCGGTCACTGGAAGTCCTAGCCAGGGGCAACCACAGCCGCAGGAGTCCTTGACGGAAGTTGGAGGTGTGCGTTTGCCGCGAAATTTTCATGCTTACGGGCGGAACAACCACGAGACGTGGAAGCCAGCACTGACTCTAGAAGAACCGGACGACCCATCACGTGTCTGTCACTACCCCAAACAGATGGTATACCCAGCGGGCGTGGGCATCGAGTATAGTCCTGAAGAACTATTGGCGCGCAAGTATACAGATCTGCTGAAGCAGCGGAAACAATTGTTGCAGGCTCAAGCGCCGCAACAGCCACTCAATATCAAAGCACAAGAGCAGACGCATCATGCGCAAGAACCCACTTATAGAGATGGACAGCAACAGGATCTCTCCGACTCCTATCAAAAGGAGGCATCCTACTGCATGACGGCAATGGATGGTAAAGGTAACGAAGCAAATTCTGAAGTTGGCGGTGATGAGGAAGGGGAGGAGGAGGAGGAGGATCACCAACCAGAGCAATCAGACGAAGAGTCAGATGAGGAGGGCTCCGATCAGCAGGACAACGATGCAGAGCCGGTGAAGCAGGTTTACTCCAATGGCGTGGACGTCGAAATGCAATTTAGAACACAGACAACCTTTGAGCAACAGAATCGCTCTATAAAGATGAAATTTAAAAAAGAACGCACATTAGAGTGCAGCACATATAGTGCCTATACAATCGAAAGCATTGACCATCAGCATCCAGAGTTGCCGTCAGCGACACCAGCACCCGAACCTATGCGCAAGTTTGCCACTTCGTCCAAGCTGTTGCAAGACTATAGTGGAGCTACTACAATGCAGCGCCAGCGAAACGAAAGCCATCATTTCCACCCGTATCTTCTGGGCCACACCTCCACACCAAAAAGCACAGCAAATGAGAGCAGGCGTGCGCGCGCCAAGGCGAAACAAGGCAAGTTTCAATCTGAACTGTGCAGCAACAGTAACTCATCCTGCTCAGTGGTGGACCAGGTGGCAAACGGTGTCGAGCCTGGCGTTGTCCATGCAGATTTTGAAGCTGCCTCTGCGCCAATACACAACGCTACCTTCAATGACAATGCCAACTTCTCGTTCTCCAGTGCCGGTGGTCTGGACAATTCGAATGGCTCGCTAGCGCTAGCTGTGGATAGACTTAATTTTCGTGAAGCCACACATGTTGCTGGCGTTGGCAATAAATCGCTGCCTGCGCACAACAATAACAACAACCACATGCCTGCACAGAGCACAACAACAAGCACATTGGCGGACTTCTCCACATTTCAGGAAAACTCTTACTTCGCTACGCAACACGATGCAGAGGCACAGGAACGCCGTCTTTCAAAGGCGCTGGAGACAATTGCACGTCACCTGGGCAAAGAAGCGATCGATCCGTTCAACAGCGAGCTCTGCCGCGCCTTTTTGGCTAAACTCAATTTTCCTGGGGACAACGACGCCCATGCCAGCTATAAAGTTGTGCAAACACCGCTGCCGAAAATCTCGAACACGCGCACCCTTAACGTCCTTGACAGCGTGCAGTTCAACATTGACAAAGAGGTGGGTCGCGGTTCCTATGGGTCCGTGTACAAGGCAACTGACACTCGCACCGGTAACGTTGTGGCGCTTAAATACCAGAAGCCGCCAAATACTTGGGAGATCTATATATGTGATCAGGTGAGAATTCCTACTTGTAATCTAATACTTTATACTCATGTGAACTATTTTTTTAAGGTGCTACGACGCATACGGGAGCCCGAAGTGCTGCCAGGCCTTATGGATATATCGACTGCGATTATCGCACCGAATGCCAGCCTTATTGCCACTGAGTTTTCGCCTTTCGGTTCGCTGCTGGACATTAATAATAAGATACGTCAAGCCACCACAAAAGTGATGCACGAGTCTCTGGTTATGCACTTTTCATCGCAGATCTGCAACATTGTCGACCATTTGCATCGACAGCACATCATTCATGCGGACATTAAGCCCGACAACTTTCTGCTAATGCGCGTACCAAGTGTCGAGAATGCCGAACCCTCGCTGCGGCTGATTGATTTTGGATGCGCAATCGACATGTCGCTTTTTCCCGACGCCGAACAAACCAAGTTCCGCAAGGTGGTGCAGACGGATGGCTTTACATGCATCGAAATGCAGGAGGGCCGCTCATGGTCATACGAAACAGATCTTTTTTGTATTGCCAGCACCGTGCATGTCATGCTCTTTGGCGAGTATATGCAGCCGCAGAAACGAGCCGCCGGCTGGGAAATACGTCAAAAGTTGCCACGCTATTTAAAGAAGCACGTGTGGTCGAAGTTCTTCTGCGATCTGCTCAATATGCAAGCCGACAAGTTGCCCCAGCTACAGCAAATGCGTGAAATCTTTGATGAGGAATGTTGCCGCATGGACTCCGAACTGCAGAAACAAATACGCACCCTCTCTAACATTCTACATCGGCGATAACCAACGCCAGTGTCATTTAAGCCGTTATCCATTGCAGCTAAGCTTTTAGCTGAAAGTTATTAAAATATTTTTGTTGCCTAACCCATTGGATCTTCTTTTTGTATGTGGCCACATTAACAAATGTTTTGAGATAAGCAAAAGTGTCACCTGCCAAGTCATAAGAAATTGAATTCGCTTTTTTCGATTTTCTCTATAGCATTTATCACGCGTCATCTTTTGGTTGTCTAACAAGGTTGGTAACAAGATTCTAGGTACACTTTACCTAAACACAAATTACATTATTTTAATTACCTTCCTTTGATTAACAATTACAATTAACTTTATAAACAAACTTTTTCAGAATTAAAATTATTTTTATTTTAATGTACAATGTAAATTATGGAAACCAACTAAGCTTTCTCTTCATATTAATGTACATTAAATTAATTTATATTTAAAAAACTATGATTTGATATAGATTTAAAACAAAAAAAACCCACAAAAAATATCATTTGTATATCCCAAGAATCAAATTTATATTCGAACAACCAAAACTATGCCAAAAGATTAATAATTAACATAATTGAATATATTTGTTTTTATCGACCGCTGTATTTCAAATTCTTGTGCAACAATATACATTATGCTGTATATAATTAGTTTAAATTCGAACCCTCCTCAAATATCCTGTACTGAACTTCATGGAATACGATGCAAAATCTATTTAAAATTATTTATAAAACGTACTTAGACAGATCATAAACGAAGCAGCCCATTAACTTGCTTTCGTCGCAAAAGAAATTCTCTCGCGTTAATTTAGTTTCATTTCCGACGATTTTTTTTCAAAACTGGTAAGTTTCAGCCGGAAAATGTGGCCTGAAACACTAGTCAATTACGAGAAAACAATTGATTCATTACTTCAAAACGAACTATCCATTATTAAATAAGCCGGCTTTGCTTAAATAAATGTGTACTTTTGTGCTATTGGCTACGATATTAGTTACACTTTTAAAATGAAACATTAGATATGGCTTTTCACTTTGAAATAGTTAAGAGAATTTTCCCTACATTTTAGAGTGAAAAAAAAGCACTTTTACGGACCACCAAATAGATGATTTTTGATTTATATTAAGTACTTAAGTATGTACATGTAAATATATGCAATGAAATTTGTTCGTGCAAATAAGATTGAATAAAGAATAAGATAAAAAGAGTAATGTAATAATTTTGTATGTACAGGAGACAGCAGAAAAAATAAAAACAAATTTTATGTCTAACGAAATGTAAGCAAATAAAATATAAAATTAAGTAAAACACAAAAGAACTTTAAGAACTAGAAAATATATTTAAAAAATGTTAAATAAAAACAACAATCCACATGCGAAGTGTCATATCCGAGGGTATCCGACTAGCCGATACTCTTATACTCACTTACGAATTCGCGTCAAATGTACTTGTGCTCTTATACTTGCCCATAGATAATATAAGTACCGCGACATCTCGGCATTCGTTCGTCTGGCTTTTCGTTAGCGAAAAGCCACTCGGTTAGCGTGGCATTTAAAGTGCAAAACCCACTTTAAATAATTTGCGTCAAATTCAAATGTATGGACGTTATCGTCTCAGTGTTAATATTGTGTTTGCTTGAAACATGAAGAAAAAAGCATCTCCCACCCCATAAAGTATATATATTCTTGATCAGCATCAATAGCCGAGCCGATCTAGCCAAGTCCCTCCGTATGTATAAGCGCAATGATCTAAGAACCTTTTAAAGTCTTGAAATTTTAAACGTGGGTCCTCCTAATGCCCGCGCAGTACAATTACGATAATCGATAATGTGCCCCTGTTCCAAGCAATCGATAAGAATCGATATCGAAATCCTGTTTCTCAGCAAATCTCTTAAGTTATAAGAGCTAGACTTACCAAATTTGACATATAGCATCTAGAATAGTATAGAGAGATAGACAGACTTCTCAGATACAGTTCCATAAGTTCATAAACCCTTGGCTCAGGAGTGCCCGACTAAGACATTGACCAAAACAATTGCTCAAGCTTTAGACAAAAACTGTACTTTTTGGCCTATTTAATGGATGAAAGGGATATACAAATACTCTACTATACTATATCTTGCCATGAATTGGATAACTATGGAATTAAACTTGATCTGTACAAAATATACTATAAAATTTGGTGATCCGAAATTGTAAAATGCAAGACCCAAGTCTGTAGCTCCTTTAGATTCTGAGATCGACGCGTTCTGACTAACTAACTATTGAGTATACCCGTTTACCCAATTTCCATGAGTTGAGGGTATTAAAAGAGAAAATGATCGTCGCAGTCTATTTTTGCAAATGAAATGCAAATGTCAGTTAAAGCAAAAAACGGCAAACAAAATTCACAATTTGGCCCGCTTCGAAATTGTCAAGTAGGTGCCACAAAGCGCGGCAGGCAGCACGACATGGCAATAGCTGTGTGCAGCGTGCAGCAATTGTGTGGCAATAATGCGCTGCGCTTGACCCACTTTTCCTTTTTGCCAACAACCAGCCAGGCAGGCAGGCAACGGTAAACAATTTCCACCCGAGCTAGCGACTGGAAAAAGTTGCAGCTTTTCATGCAGCACACACACACACACACATACGTAAAGCGACACAAAGTCAAAGTCGACGCCGGTCTCTAACGCCGTCGTTGTTGCAGTTGCCAACGTTTCGCGGCTGCGGCTGCGGCTGCAGTTGCATTCGCATTCGCATTCGACTCTCGCCAAGTGAAAGTAAAGTGGGACAAATGTAATTATTATTGCTTCTAGTAACCGTAACCGAGTTAGAAGCCTCGATTGCGGTTGGAAAGTTGGCAACAACGTCGACATTAGCTTTTACACAATATTTTATTCAATCAAATTGCAAAGAGAAAATTGCAGCAAATGCGCGGCAGCGACAGCGACAGAGGCAGCGGCAGAGGCGGAGGCAGAGGCAGCGACAGCGGCGGAGGCAGCGGCAACTGCATCGGGCAAATAATGCAACACGTAAACTTTCTATTTTTTGTGTGTCGGCTTCGACGTCAACTTTGATTGCAACTGCAACACACACACACACACAAACACACATACACACAGCTTAAAGCATTTAGCATAAACACACACACACACACACACATTTCTATGGATTTGGCATTTGTTGGCGTTGCATGCATAAATTAATAAGTGTGTCCCAGTTCAGTTTGCAGCACGTTGGCGATTTGGTTTATGAGTTCGAGTGACAAATTAGGTTGCAACGAATCAAATTGCGATTCGAAAGTAAAGTAGTACGCATATCTATTCAAAGTTTTCTGATCAATTAAATAAATAGCAACAAACTAACTACATCCAATATATCTCAATATAATCTTTGTCCCCCCAACAAGCAACAATTTGCGTATTCAAAGTATCCTGAACCCAGTGAAAAGGAGTAAAACGGGTATTTTGGCTTTGTGCGAAATGTTTGTAGGCAAAAGGAAGCATTTGCGATCATATAAAGCATCAGTAGTAGATCAAGAATATATATACTTTTTGAACGGATCGATCTCAGAACCTATAAGAGCTAGAGGGAAATTTCGAACGTAGGTCCTCCAGGATAATCAATAACTAATCCCGTTAAAAATCCATATTGAAATACTGCAAATCTCTTGGGTTTTAAGAGCTAGTCTCTAAATTTTACATGTAGCTTCTAGAATAGTTCATACAAATCAAGTATCTTTCTTTATATTCGAGAATTGTTTTTTCTAAATGATATATGGAGTTGGTTGGAAGAAGGTTCAGAGTATCCCGAGCATTCCCGACTAGAGCACAACTGTTATTATTCGGATTTTCGGATGTTCGGATTATACGGATGGACACACAACATGGCTCAATATCGATTTGGCTCTTGATGCTGATAAAGACTATAGAAAATAAATGGGGTTAAAGAGATGCCGCCTGCTTCTGCCTATTACACATATTTACACAAAACAATTTTGAAATATCATGACCAACCATTCTTGCCGTATTTTTGCTTGAATGTGCAACAATTGTACTTCAAAATATTATTAGCAAAGCGAAACTGGGCAAATAATTAAGTAATTTGAAGTAAAAAAAAGTAAAGTAGACAAGAAAGAGGCTCTAGTCGGGAGTGCCCGACTAGGGGATACCCTGTTCGTGTTCTACCAACACGAAATGCTTCTTTTCTTTAATAACTTTTGTGTTTCTTAAGCGATCTTGATGAAATTTTCAAATGTAGATATTCTTGTACTATAAAATATTCGTATATTCTCAAAATGACATTTGCGTCAAAATTGTGGCTTAAATTAGTTGGCAATACAAATTGGTTTATTTACTTGATTTATAGCGGGAAGGTGGTAATAGCTATAAAATTAAAGATACTTGATATATATATACTACTCAGACATTTATGTCAAGTTTGGTGACTCTAGGCCTTAACACTTGCGAGATTTGCTCAAAAAACAGGATTTCGATATCGATTTTTATCGATTGCTTGGAAACGGGGCAAGTTATCGACTATCGGAAACAAACTTGCGCGGGCACTAGAAGGATCTACATTCCAATTTTCAGTCTCTAGTTCTTATAGGTTCTGAGATCCTTGCGTTCATACATACGGACGGACGGACGGACAGACGGACGGACATAGCTAGATCAACTCGGCTATTGATGCTGATCAAGAATAAATTTATCCCCTTTTGATGGGTTTAGGGTATAAAAACAGGGGTTAAATGAATGGAAACCTTTGTTTTTCATTCGATCGAGCTTCAATTTATTTTCAAATCTTCATATTAAATAAAAATAAAAATCCAAGGCCTTATATTTACAGAAATAAACTGTCCAGTACAAAGATGCTTTAAAGTACATTATAATACAAAAATTAAAAGCCAATAGCCTAAACCGACACAATGGGGATATACTATTTACCGGTTCGTCCAACCTTGGGGCATTCAGAGTTTACTTTGCTAGAGTTTACAGCTAAAAAGGAAGGCGCTTAATTTTAATTTAATCAATTAAATAAAAATATATAATA